TTTCCTCCAACCCTCCAAAGACATGCTGGTAGGTGAATTGGCTCCTGTCTAAATTGTCCCTAGTATGTGTATGTATGAATGTGAGTTAGGGACCTTAGATTGTACACCCCTTAAGGGTTATGCAGGCCACAGATGGGGAGAAAACCGGATGTTTTTTTTAACAAAAAAAAAAATGAAAAATCGGTCGTTACAACCAACAATAAAAAAATTGGCAGATTTTCTTCCCGTCTACGGCCGGCATTTAATTACTGTCCCTGCAGAGAGCCCCGCTACTATATTTGACATTAGAAAGTATAGCGGTTGCAACATTGTATCTATTTGTATCCATTTCGGATACAGATGTGTTTTCGGATACAAATAGATACATTGTTGCAACCGCAATACTTTTTTATGTCAAATATAATAGCGGACTGGAATTCTTCTTTCTCTTCTTCTTCTTCTTTCTTTCTCTTCTTCTCTTCTTTCTCTACTTCTTCTCTTCTTCTTTCTTCTTTCTTTCTCTTCTTTCTCTACTTCTTCTTTCTCTTCTTCTTCCTCTTCCTCTTCTTTCTCTACTTCTTCTTTCTCTTCTTCCTCTTCCTCTTCTTTCTCTTCTTCTTTCTCTTCTTCCTCTTCCTCTTCTTTCTCTACTTCTTCTTTCTCTTCTTCCTCTTCCTCTTCTTTCTCTTCTTCTTTCTCTTCTTCCTCTTCCTCTTCTTTCTCTTTCTTCTTTCTCCTCTTTCTCTTCTTCTCTTCTTTCTCTTCATCTTCTTCTTTCTCTACTTCTTCTCTTCTTTTCTCTTCATCTTCTTCTTTCTCTACTTCTTCTTTTCTTTCTCTTCCTCTTCTTCTCTTCTTTTTCTCTTCTTCTACTTCTTCATCTTCTTTCTCTTTCTTCTTCTTCCTCTTCATCTTCTTCTTCTTCTTCCTCTACTTCTTTCTCTTTCTTCTTCTTCCTCTTCCTCTTCCTCTCTTCTTTTTTCTTTTCCTCTTCTTTCTCTTCTTCTTCTCTCTTCTTCTTTCTCTTCTTTTTTCTCTTTTTTTTTCTTCTTCTTTTTCTTGCAGGTCATGGCTCATGCGCAGATTTTTTATTGGTAAAAAGATCGGCCGATTTGTCCACCATTGGCACGAAAAATCTGACAAAATCCAGAAAAAACGGCCAACCAATTAACCCATTAACGGTGCGAAAATCGGCCGATTTTCGACCCATCTATGGCCTGCATAAGGGACTGATGTGAATGTACAATATATATGTAAAGTGCTGTGTAAATTGACGGCGATATATAAGTACCTGAAATACATAAATATTACTCTGTAGAGACGGCTCACATCTCCACTCCAACTTGCCTGAAGCTCAAAAAAGTTTTGGAGCAACTTTTGTAGCTCCATTCAGGCAGATTGCTGTGTTTTTTTAACACATTTTTATTCCTTGCGGCATGTGGGTACTAGAGGTCGGCGGTACAGGACTCCTCGGGTATTCCTTGCAAAGGGAAGCTTTACCTCATTTCCTAAGCTCTGGAGCAACTGCACTTGCAAAGTGCACAGTCTATTTGCCTTTAGTAAAGCAACCCCTATAGGATAACATTAGCTGCTTCTAGTGCCAAAAAATGCAAAACGCCTCTTTGAGCAGCATTTTTTTTAAGCCCGTGGGGTTGATTTACTAAAGGCAAATAGACTGTGCACTCTGCAAGTGCAGTTGCTCCAGAGCTTAGTAAATGAGCAGCATGACTTCCATCATCCAATCATGTGCAAACAGAAATTTTGGGTTTTTTTTTTTAACTTTCCCTGCACGTGATTGGGCAATCTTTCCAAAGTGAAGCGTCTCCCTCATTTACTAAGCTCTGGAGCAACTTTGCAAAGTGCACAGTCTATTTGCTTTTATGAAACCAACCACACTGGCCTAAAATATTGGTCCAATCCATGATTGGATGGTGGAAGTCAGCAGAGTTTCTGCTCATTTACTAAGCTCTGGAGCAATTGCTCTTTGCAAAGTGCACAGTCTATTGGCTGTTAGCAAATCCACCCCAAAGTGGACCCATCTATTTTCATCTGGTGATCCAGCCAGTAGATCTGTTGTTTTTTCCGGACGGGAGGTGGTTAATAAAACTGGTAACGTTAGCAGTCACGTTAAAAACATTTTGCCGCGTTTTTTGCATTTGCGTTTAGAGGTTTTTTTACCAAAAAAAAACTTTTTTTAGTCAATTAAACACTGGTTTGCCGCGTTTTACCATGTTTTGCCGCATTTTTCAGTGTTAGAGCATTTTTACAGCTAAGGCTCCATGCACACGGGGTGTTTTGATAACGCTGCTAACGTTAGCTGTGTAAAGTCATGTTAAAAATTTTTTTGCGTTTTTGCATTAGCATTTAGCGTTTCCCCATGTTTTTCCTGCGTTTGCGGTTTTTTAACTTTTTTTAAGAGAAAAAAATGTTTTTTTGGTCAAAAAAAGTCTAAAAACGCTGGTTTGCGGCGTTTTATTGCGTTTTACCACATTTTGCAGTGTTTTTCAGCATTAGAGTGTTTTTACAGCTAAAAAACTCCTCTAGAAACCCGCTAGTTCTGTTTTTTTTTTACAAGCAAAAAACGATGATTCCAGTCTACAGTATGCGTGTATGGACACATAGGATAACATGCCGGGGATGGACACATAGGATAACATGCCGGGGATGGGCACATAGGATAACATGCCGGGGATGGACACATAGGATAACATGCCGGGGATGGGCACATAGGATAACATGCCGGGGATGGACACATAGGATAACATGCCGGGGATGGACACATAGGATAACATGCCGGGGATGGGCACATAGGATAACGTGCCGGGGATGGACACGTAGGATAACATGCCGGGGATGGACACGTAGGATAACATGCCGGGGATGGACACGTAGGAGAACATGCCGGGGATGGACACGTAGGATAACATGCCGGGGATGGACACATAGGATAACATGCCGGGGATGGACACATAGGATAACATGCGGGGATGGACACATAGGATAACATGCCGGGGATGGACACATAGGATAACATGCCGGGGATGGACACATAGGATAACATGCCGGGGATGGGCACGTAGGATAACATGCCGGGGATGGACACATAGGATAACACGCCGGGGATGGACACGTAGGATAACATGCCGGGGATGGACACATAGGATAACATGCCGGGGATGGACACATAGGATAACATGCCGGGGATGGACACATAGGATAACATGCCGGGGATGGACACATAGGATAACATGCCGGGGATGGACACATAGGATAACATGCCGGGGATGGACACATAGGATAACATGCCGGGGATGGACACATAGGATAACATGCTGGGGATGGACACATAGGATAACATGCCGGGGATGGACACATAGGATAACATGCTGGGGATGGACACATAGGATAACATGCTGGGGATGGACACATAGGATAACACGCCGGGGATGGACACGTAGGAGAACATGCCGGGGATGGACACGTAGGATAACATGCCGGGGATGGACACATAGGATAACATGCCGGGGATGGACACATAGGATAACATGCCGGGGATGGACACATAGGATAACATGCCGGGGATGGACACATAGGATAACATGCCGGGGATGGACACATAGGATAACATGCCGGGGATGGACACATAGGATAACATGCCGGGGATGGACACATAGGATAACATGCTGGGGATGGACACATAGGATAACATGCCGGGGATGGACACATAGGATAACATGCTGGGGATGGACACATAGGATAACATGCCGGGGATGGACACATAGGATAACATGCTGGGGATGGACACATAGGATAACATGCCGGGGATGGACACATAGGTTAACATGCCGGGGATGGACACATAGGAGAACATGCTGGGGATGGACACGTAGGAGAACATGCCGGGGATGGACACATAGGATAACATGCTGGGGGGGTTTACTGGCTGTAGAAAAAATGTAAAAAGCCAAAAAAAAAACAGCCGCTGCAAAAACGTCCCGGGTGGACGAGGAATGAACCACCCAAAATGGTTATATATTTTCTGAAAGTAGACACCTTGGAGAAAAAAAAGAGCAATTTTTACACAATATTTGCATAGCTTTTAATCAAAAACATATTTGCAGGAAAAACAAACACTCCCCTCCCCCCAGACTGACAATGCTGCTGTCCAAAGGTGTCCCCTGTACTCCTTCATCCAGGGGGGAGGGGGGGTTAATACAGGAGGTGTGTTACTGGCCAGATCACCAGGTGACAATAGAGGGGAAAAGGGCTAAAAAAAAAGAAAACAAATGCAGCCATTTGAAATAACTTCTGCTGAGGAGGGAAATGCTGGATGAACTGTGATTAGCAGGTGTAGGCTTCATCCCGGTATATCCGGGACGTCAACCCGAGGACGTCATATGACATCTTATAGGTGGGAAGTGGTTAAAACATTTTTTTTCTTCATTTAAAATTTGATATCACAAAGGGGTTAGCACGCCCCCTATGTGATAGCATTGGGCAGGTGACAGGCCCTCTTTATGGAGACTTCAGGGGTTTCTTAGACCTCCTACATCTCTTGCCCACCAGAGGTGGCCGGAAGCCACCACAGAGCCCCGTAAAAGCCACAAAACGTGAGCCTTTCCTCTCCTTATATCTGTTGTGTAGACCGCACCGTTTCCTCTCCCTACGACTTCACTCCGGCAACATTCCAATCACTGCGATGATTCATTACAGAGAGCGATCCGCGCACTCCTACCCAAATACTTCAAGCATCCTTCATGCTAATGAGAATTAAGAAGAAGTACTTGCGTGGAGAACTCGGAAGGGATGAGAAGATGTTTTACGGCAGATTAGGTGAAGGAACTCATCTGGGATTACGACAAGTGGTGTCCCCCATGATTGCACCTGGGAACCCGGATCTCAGAGATTCCAGACAGGAGGGGAAACGATTCCGCCAACTGCGACTGCTACTGAGAACATTCTGAAACTGTGCTAGAATTATACGGGGCTCATGCACAGGTGTACCGGCTCCTTCCATTCGGTCTTGCACAGGTGTACCGCTCCTCCCCTTCGGTCTTGCACAGGTGTACCGGCTCCTTCCCTTCAGTCTTGCACAGGTGTACCAGATCCTTCCCTTCGGTCTTGCACAGGTGTACCAGATCCTTCCCTTCAGTCTTGCACAGGTGTACCGGTTCCTCCCTTTCGGTCTTGCACAGGTGTACCGGCTCTTCCCTCCAGTCTTGCACAGGTGTACTGGCTCCTCCCCTTCAGTCTGGCACAGGTGTACCGGCTCCTCCCCTTCAGTCTTGCACAGGTGTACCTGCTCCTTCCCTTTAGTCTTGCACAGGTATACCGGCTCCTCCCCTTCGGTCTTGCACAGGTGTACCGGCTCCTCCCCTCCAATCTTGCACAGGTGTACCGGCTCCTCCCCCACCAGTCTTGCACAGTTTGTACTGGCTCCTGTCCCTTCAGTATTGCACAGGTGTAGCAGCTCCTCCCCTTCAGTCTTGTACAGGTGTACTGGCTCCTTCCCTTCAGTCTTGCACAGGTGTACCGGCTCCTCCCCTTCAGTCTTGCACAGTTGTACCGGTTCCTCCCCCTTCAGTCTTGCACAGGTGTACCACCTCCTGTCCTCCAGTCTTGCACAAGTGTACCGGTTCCTCCCCTTCGGTCTTGCACAGTTGTAGCGGCTTCTCCCCTCCCCCCTTGTCTTGCACAGGTGTAGGTCTTGCACAGGTGTACCGGCTCCTCCCCTTCGGTCTTGCACATGTGTATCGGCTCCTTCCCTTCAGTCTTGCACAGGTGTACCAGATCCTTCCCTTCGGTCTTGCACAGGTGTACCGGCTCCTCCCCTCCAATCTTGCACAGGTGTACTGGCTCCTCCCCACCAGTCTTGCACAGTTGTACTGGCTCCTGCCCTTCAGTCTTGCACAGGTGTAGCAGCTCCTCCCCTTCAGTCTTGCACAGGTGTACCGGCTCCTTCCCTTCAGTCTTGCACAGGTGTACCGGCTCCTTCCCTTCGGTCTTGCACAGTTGTACTGGTTACCTCTCCCCTTCAGTCTTGCACAGTTGTACCGGTTCCTCCCCTTCAGTCTTGCACAGGTGTACCTGCTCCTCCCCTTCAGTCTTGTACAGGTGTACCGGCTCCTTCCCTTCGGTCTTGTACAGGTGTACCGGCTCCTCCCCTTCAGTCTTGCACAGGTATTCCGGCTCCTCCCCATCAGTCTTGCACAGGTGTACCTGCTCCTCCCCTTCAGTCTTGCACAGGTGTACCTGCTCCTCCCCTTCAGTCTTGCACAGGTGTACCAGCTCCTTCCCTTCGGAAAATCCAACATAGAAAGTCCAAATGAATACAGAAAAAACAACTCTCCAGGAATTCTTGGTGGGAAAGACCATGTATCTACTGGAAAGTAAACCCACAATCCCGGAGCTGTAAATCTTTAACCACTTCCCGCCCGGCCTATAGTAAAATGACTCTCGTCCCTCCGTTAGGGCGCCATATGACATCCTTCCCAGACAGCAATTTGTGCATGCCCGCAGGACCGCGCTGTGGCGAGATTTGTCACCGACCGTGTACCTCAGACACTGCTGATGACAGATATCTGTACCGATCCCGTTTCCAGTATCATGTGACCTGCTGTGACCAATCACAGCAGGTCACATGACAGTTATACAATGGATGGCTTCCTTTCATATCATTCATTGTATGCAAGTGTGTCTAGCTGTGAATGGCGATCACATGCACAGGCTGGGCCAATCACCGCCCAGCTGTGTCATGTGATTAGCCGTGGCCAAATCACACCTAATAACAACAAAAAAACCTGAATGAATCGATTTCATTCAGTTAAATGCTTGCTTATAGCAAAGAAATTCTTTGCTATAAGCAATCAAATTGTGTAAAAAATAAAAAATACTGATCACTTCCCCAAAGAAGTACAATGTTACTATGGTAACATTATACTACTTTGGTCATACTGTAATATGAAAAAAAACAATCTTAAAAAAAGAAAAGGAATGTAATAAAACAAAAAAAAGTGTCCCTGATCACCGCCAGACCAGCTATATGATGACTCTGTACTGCACTGGTGAAAATAATTTTTTTTAATTTCTTAATTTTCCAAAAAAATTATGACAAAAAAATAACAACTATAAAAATCTCGCCATGCCTTTTATTAAATACGTTGGGCTGTCTACTTTGCAAAAAGGGGTCATTTGGGGGATATCTGTACTGTTCTGACATTTTTGGGCCTCAGGAAATCAGACTGGCCGTCAGTACTTCAGGATCGATCAATTTTCAGATATATCCAATAGGTTTTTTTTTGTTAATTTAGCAAAAAATAAAAACCCCAGCTGTGATTAAATACCACCAAAAGAAAGCGCTAGTTTGTGTGAACAAAATTATAAAATTTTAGTTTGGGTACAGTGTTGTATGACCGCGCAATTGTCATTCAAATTGTGAGAAAGCTGAAACTCGAAAATTGCCATGTATTGAAGTGGTTAAAGGAACACACCGCCAGGGTGAGACTTTGGTAGAAATGGACCCTCACCATATGTGGACCCGTGTAAGAAACAGGTCCATAGGGCTCTCCCCTCTTAATGGGGGTCATGAAGTGATGTCTTCCATGCACAAAAAAAGACATCACTTCTGACTTTGAATCTCAGAATTCTGACACTGAATCTCAGAATTCTGATTTTTAATCTCTGACTCTGAATCTGTGAATTCTGATTTTTTATCTCAGATTTCTGACTCTGAATCTGTGAACTCTGATTTTTAATCTCAGATTTCTGACACTGAATCTCAGAATTCCGATTTTTAATCTCAGATTTCTGACACTGAATCTCAGAATTTTGACTTTTAATCTCAGATTTCTGACACTGAATCTCATAATTCTGATTTTTAATCTCAGATTTGTGACTCTGAATCTGAGAATTATGATTTTTTTATCTCAGATTTCTGACACTGAATCTCAGAATTCTGATTTTTAATCTCAGATTTGTGACTCTGAATCTGAGAATTCCGATTTTTAATCTCAGATTTCTGACACTGAAACTCAGAATTCTGATTTTTAATCTCAGATTTCTGACACTGAATCTGAGAATTACGATTTTTAATCTCAGATTTCTGACACTGAATCTCAGAATTCTGATTTTTAATCTCAGATTTGTGACTCTGAATCTGAAAATTCCGATTTTAATCTCAGATTTCTGACACTGAATCTCAGAATTCTGACTTTTAATCTCAGATTTCTCACTCTGAATCTGTGAATTCTGATTTTTAATCTCAGATTTCTGACACTGAATCTGTGAATTCTGATTTTTAATCTCAGATTTCTGACACTGAATCTCAGAATTCTGACTTTTTATCTCAGATTTCTGACTCTGAATCTCAGAATTCTGATTTTTTATCTCAGATTTCTGACACTGAAAGTCAGAATTCCGATTTTTAATCTCAGATTTCTGACACTGAATCTCTCACTGAATTTTAAAAGTCAGAATTTACTTTTGTAAACTTCTTTTAGGATAGCCCTAGGCTCTTCCAAATTAAAACTCTAACTGCAACTAAAAGTCAGGGCTCTGAGGAAGAGGTTGTGTCCTCGAAATGCGTTAGCCAGTTGGTCATCCAGGGTTTTAGACCGGCTAGAGAACAGCGATAGTAAATCAGAACCACTTGCAGAATTGAGTGATAATGATTCGTGGGGGAAATTCCTCATCAGACACTGAAAACGATTTTGCGACTTTGCTCAGTGATGTGCGAACTTGGCGCTCTATTTCACATTTCAGTGTTTTTGGTTTGATTATATTATTGAAATTTATTATTATTATTTTTTATGATTATTTATTATATTATAATTTATGATTTCGTGTTTCAAATTTTATCATCCCCGGGATGTTTACTAGACTCTTGTTCGGACAGATTTCAGTGAGTTATTCCTAAAAATGACAGGCCTACAATAAAAAATGCAGAATTTCCATGCAAAAAAATGTACCGCTTTCAGCACCAAATATGTGAAATAATCCTACCGCCAGGGAGGGGCGGAATGACAACTCATGGGGCCCCCGGGCAATAGGGGATCATGGGGCCCCTGTGTCCTTGCCCAAACTCAAAAAAGCCTATGAAAAGGTACCAGGGGTATTTCATGGGGCCCCCTACTGACCCCGGGCCCTCAGGCATTGCCCGAGTTTCCAAATGGTCAGTCCGCCCCTTCCGCCAGGGGGTTAAGATAGAACTGTAATATAATGACAGCATTTCTATGGAAGTCCCATCCTGCTAATCCATCCAGACATTGCAGTGTATATTGATACATTGTTTCCGGGTGAACATTGACCGGACAATTACATACTTTGTCGCTAGCAGTTTTTTTTCTGTTTCCGCGAGCGGCGGTGAGCCTGACACCCCGGGATGCGGAGAGTTAAATCCCTAATGGAATCATTTGTTTTCTGACAGCTTGCAAGCAAACTTCCAAGACTGGCTGCGTAGCAACAGCACGACCGAAGCTGGCCCACACCGCCGCCGCCGCCGCGCCCGACTCTCTCCCATTACCACACTCGTTAATAAGGTCATTCCATCCGACGCAATGTTAACCCCTTCCGTCCCTCCACACACGCACCCAAAATACTTGCTTATTTTTTTTTTTTAATTGGCGCTTTTTTGGTACAAGTGTTCAGCGCACATGGAAGTTACACCAAAATCATTTTCGATGGGGTTTTTCAAAAAAAAAATTTTAAGCCCCCCCTTCATACGGGCGTTCCGTATATCTGTTTTTTTCATCTGTCCGTTTACGGATGAAAAAACTGCCCCCCCCCGTGTATTTTCTATCGACTAGCGGATGTAAACGCATGATCATCTGTTTACATCTGTTAATGTCCACAACCGTTAACATTCTTTTTTTTTGAACGGAAGAAACCCTGGTTTTTTCTTCCATTAAAAAAAAACCGTAACGGATGAAAAATTAGTGTAAAAGGACAAAAACGGATGTAAACGGACAAAAAAAGGATGAAAACAGATGTAAAGAGATGAAAAACAGATGAAAAATGGATGGAAATGGATGTAAACTGATGAACAACTCGCGTAAACTGAAGGACAAGAACAAACGTAAACGGACACAAAATGGCTGAAAATGGATGTAAATGGGTGAAAAACGGACGAAAACTGATGAAAAACAGATGAAATAATGGATGAAAAAACAAAGGTAAATTGATGAAAAATGGATGTAAACTGATGAAAATCTGATGTAAACGGATGTAAAAGGACAAAAAATGGATGTAAATGGATGAAAAACAGATGTAAACTGACAGATGAAAACGGACAAAAATGGATGTAAAAATACAAGAAACCGATGAAAAACGGATGAAAAAAACGGATGTAAACTGACAGGTGTAAACGGACAAAAACAAATGTAAAAGGGCAAAAAATGGATGTAAACTGATGAAAAATGGATGTAAACTGACAGATGTAAATAAACAAAAACAGATGTAAAAACACAAAAAACAGATGAAAAAACGGATGAAAAATGGATGTAAACGGATGTAAACTGATGAACAACTGGCGTAAACTGAAGGACAA